CTGTCAGTGTTTAACTTGGACAAACCCAGTTGTGAGGGTTTGAATATGTCCCCTAAAAATTCTTGTCCTGAGATCGTAATCCTTGGATGAGGTCATGAGCTTGCATACACAAGTGAATCAGTGGCCTTAGGAAAAGAAAGAGAGAGACTTGAGCTATATCACACCTGCTGGGCTCACCATGGGCTACTCCCTGCTGTTTGACAATGTAGCAGAAATTTCCACTCCAGATGCCAAGCAGGTGCAGGTACAGGTGCAGATGTCGGTGCCATGCTATTCTTAGGCCCCAGAACTCTGGGCACAATCAATGTCTATTCTTTCTAAATTGCTGGTATTTTGTTAGACCCCTAAGAAACAGGCTAAGACATCAGCTTGCATCATTTGACCATGAAACCCTTTAGTCCTAGAACATCCTTAACATCTCAGAGGCTGTTACCGCCCAGGAGGAAACCATCTGGTGAATTCTATCTTGTCTTCATATCCTATCCAAGCAAACAGCAGCCAATGGCTCTGAGGCTGTGAGGGAGAACGAGACATGGAGATATTTGTCTGCCAGCAGTCCTTGGATGTTTATAACACAGAGAACAGCATCTGATGGGACAAACACTAGGCATAAGCTCAGAGACCTGTGACTTCGTCCTTCCTCTATCACCTGTCTAGATATGCTGCTCATGTCCTGGAAAGAAGACACATTTTAGAATATCAACATATTCCTTACTTTAAAACTGCTGACCAGTTAAGGAAGTTTCTGTGCCATAGGGTATAAAAAGTAACCTGTTAAGACTGGTGCAATAGCCTACTGGCTAAATCCATTTTGCATCGGCCAGGATCCCAGTTCACCTGTTTATGTCCCAGCCGCTCCACTTCCCATTCAGCTCCCTGCTTGTGGCCTGGGAAAGCAGTAGAGGACAGCCCAAAGCCTTAGGACCCTGAACTCATGTAGAAGACCCTGAAGAAGCTCCTGGCTCCTGACTTCAGATCAGCTCAGCTCTGACCAATGCGGCCACTTGGGGAGTGAACCAGCAAATGGAAGATTTTTGTCTCTCCTTCTCTCAGTAACTCTGCCTTTCAGATAAAAATAAATCTTTTCCTTTTTTAAAGTAGCCTATTGTTGGCATGGGGGTGTGAATGTTTGATGTAGTGGGTAAGCTGAAGCTTGCGAAACCTGCATCTCATATCAGAAGAACTATGTTGGAATCTCAGTTCCACTCAGTGCATACCCTGGAAAGTAACAGATGAAGATGAAGAATTTGTGTTTCTGCCGCTGACTTTGAGACCTCAACTAGGGAGCAAATCAGGGACTGGGAGATCTCTGTCTCTCTGGCTTTCAAAGAAATACAATGGAATTAATACTTTCCTTAAGGTGATGTTCTGGGTGGGTTTTGAATTGATGTCTTTATAGTCTTCTTTCAGAAGGTTGGTACCTTTAAATCATTAGAGGAGCCTAATTCCTTAGAGAGCCCAAAGAACACAGGAGAACAAATGTACTTATGTTGTGCAGTGGAATAATACTCAAAGTAATAAGTCTCAGACAGAATGGAGAAAGAGGTACGACTCTACCGTTATATATAAGTAATACATGAAATTGGAGATTTGTTATTTGAGACTCAAGCCTGTGGGGCTCAGGGCTTGTTTTTCTGAGCACTAGAACTTCAGAGCTAGAGGCGGATGCCAGAGAGTTGTTACAACAGAATGAGGCTGCTACTCAGTACTAGGTGGAAAAGCTACAGATAAGATAGAAGTGGTCAGCATTTCAGGGCTCCTTCCTGTGGTTCTGATCTAGAAGGAAGGCCCTCTTCCATGCCCTGACTCAGAGGGGAAATATTAATTCCCACACCTATTTGTTGAAGGAAAGAAAACGACACACAGTGTCTCAAGGTATCCTTGCAAGGGATGCCCAGGAGGGAAGTAAATCCCACTTGATGGTTTTCATGTTATTAAAGTGAGGCAGGAATTCTGCACAGTGGTTAAGGCTCTACCTGGGTCATAGTGCCTGGGTTGAAGTCCCAGCTCTGCCCTGCCACATGGAGACCTGGATTGAGTTCTTGGCCACTGGCTTTGTCCTGGCCCAACTGTAACTGTGGAAGAAGAGAGTTAAGAGATGTAACAGTGGAAAGGAGATCTCTGCCTATATGTGTACCTCTCTCTCTCTCTCTATCCCCCTCTCTCCCTCCCTCCCTGTATTTCAAACAAATATAAAATTAATCAAGCAATCAGTTTTACAAAGAAATATATCATGGGCCCAGCACGTTGACTCAACTGGCTAATCTCCAAGTGCCAGGATCCTATATTGATGCCAGTTCATGTCCCGGTTGCTCCACTTCCCTTCCAGTTCTCTGCTTGTGGCTTGGGAAAGCATTTGAGGACAGCCCAATGCCTTGACACCCTGCATCTGCATGGGAGACCTGGAAAAAGCTCCTCGCTCCTACTTTTAGATTGGCTCAGCTCCAGTCATTACAGTCATTTGGGGAGTGAACCAGAAGTTGGAAGATTTTCCCCCTCTGTCTCTCCTCCTCTCTGTAACTCCTCCTCTCTGTAAATCTGCCTTTCCAATGGAACTAAATCTTTTTTAAAAAGAAATATATCATGTAAAGTGCTATTAAAATATAAGTCCGCTAAATTAGCAACTACAATTTAAAATACTTCCAGGCTGGATAATAAATGTGCATTGAATTGATGACATTAAGTCATCTGGCTTTAAAGAGGGTAGCTTTTGCTTCAACCACAGGTTAGATAAATGTAAATTTAGTCATCTGTCAGTAATTATGAGAGCACTGTCAGACATTCAGAGTGACATCTACTCAGGAACTTCCCTGTCATCTTACCCAAACTCTGTTTTTGCAGCGTCATAGATATTCATGGCTCAGGGCCACTGAGATGCTGAGGGCTGATAGATCCCCAGGCTCAATTCCAACGCCATTGGAGAGGTCAAGCCATTCACTCCTTTTCAACACAAAGTACTCCCCACATAGGGAAACAATGCGTCTTCACTTACCTGATTCTTTCCTGTCCTGGTATCTTTGCAAGTCTATTATGACAGGGTGTAAGCCTTCAGGCAACAGAAAGGAGAATGGAAACAGCTGGTGGGCTGCTTGTGCCAGGAACCTTGGGGGCTGGTGCCAGCAGCACTGTTATTGAGGGTCTCCTCGGGGAGGGCCAGCACTGTGGTGAATGCACCTGGACCAGAACCAATGCTGGAGAGCCAGTGGATGCTCCAGACTACTGGCTTTGGCTATCTGGGGGAAGGGGGTGGATGGAAGACTTTCTCTCTGCCTCTCTGCTCTCCCTCTCTGTAACTCTGCCTTTCAAATAAGTAAATTTTTAAAACATCTTGGGGAAAAAGTAGCAAAGCAATAATAGTGAAGGTCCCTGGATTTTCATAGACACAAACAATCCCACCAGTTCCCATACCAAATTGGCTGCTGTTACATGTCCCCTGAGGGGGGTTACTGCCAGTTGAAAAGATATTCTATAAGTTCATGATGTGTGAATTGAGTGTAAAAGATTGCTCTTCCCTTTATTTGAAAATCAATATTTTTCTTCTTCTTTTTTTATTTTTGTAAGACTTATTTATTTGAAAGGCAGAGAGAGAGACAGAGAGAGAGATTGAGAGACATTCCATCCACTGGTTCTCTCCCAAGATGGTCACAGTGTTCTGGAACTCCCTCAGAGTCTCCCTTGTATGCGGCAGGGTCCTTGGTCCATCTTCTGCTGCCATCCTAGGTGCATTAATGTGAAGCTAGACAGCAACTGAGCAGCTGGGATTCAAACCAGTGCTTCAACATGAGATGCCAGCATGGTTGGCAGTGGCTTAAAGCACTGTGCCACAGCACCAGCCCCTCTAGTCAATATTTCTTAATCTACTTATTGGAGGCATTCTACACTTATAATTTGCTTTCAGCTGATTTTCTCTGAATGTTCTCAGCTCAGGGAAAACATTTCGGGACCTATCCAGGTCAAGTTTAAAAAGACCCATTTCCCCCTTCGATGAAGGGAGCTGGAGAGTAGAGAGCAAACACCGTATGCAGAAATGGTGCTAGGTGGGTAGTTTGGCAGAATGACGGCCGCAAGCCCCTGCATTGGAACTCACTGTCTGTGAGCCTAAAGGGAATCTTGGTGTTGCAAAAGAACCCACCTTGGCGTGCATGCTCTGCACTCTTGGAATCTGAAAATCATTGTCATCTGAGAGTTTCCTTCTGACAAAGATGAGCTTTCCTTTCCTCCCCTGGTTCTGCTTCTGGTTACTTCCTATCTATGCAAATGGAACCAGGAAGATGCCAATGCGGGCTATGAGAATAGGCTGTCTCAATAACACTCCTTCCTCCCCTTCTTCAGAAGCCCCGTGAGCAGTTCAGCTAACTAGGAACATCAGGAACTTTTATTCTTTTCTTTTATTTGAAAGACAGTTTTGACAGAGAGAAGGAAAGACAGAGAGACAGATCTTCCATCCACTGGTTCACTCCCCAAATGTCTGCAACAGCAAGAGCTGAGCCAATCTGAAGCCAGGATCCAGGATCCAGGAGCCTCTTCTGGGTCTCTCATGTGGGTGCAAGGGACCCAAGCACTAGAGCACTCCTCTGCTGCTTTCCTAGGCAATAGGCAGGGAGCTAGATCAGAAATAGAGCAGTTGGGACACCAACTGGCACTAATACAGAATGCTGGCACCACAGGCACAAGATCTGCCAGCTATGCCACCAAGCAAGCCCGCATCAGGAGCTTTTAAACTTCTCAATGCAGTGCTGATGTGTGTCTCCTCATTGCTTAATATGAAATCTTGCAAACTCTCAGAGTTTAGACTCAAATCTAGCCAGTGTGCCATCTGTTCCCAAATGACTGCACATGCATGTTTAAAGGTGAGAGATAATTTACAACAAATAAAGCTCATGAAAAACTTTAATTTCTTTCATGCTGCTACAAGTATAGCTTCATGCTTAGGAAAAAAAGTGGGCTGGTCACATTTTTCTGCCTTCTTTAACAGCATACAGTGAAACAGGTGCCCTTACCTCTCCTCCAGTGCATGGGAAAGGACTGGAGTATCTAGAAGTACAGAGAGCCCCTTTCTTGACAACGTCATCTTCCAGGCCGAAGGTCGCCGAGCAGTTGGTTGCAAAGTATTTGTAAGGCTTCCAGGTCTTCCCAAAGTCCTGAGACCGGTCCAACACCATGGCTGCTGGCCGGGGGGACTTGAACACCATAATGAGGTGGGTGAAGTAGAATTCAGCTTCCAAGTCTAACTGGATCTTTTCTCTGTGCACATCCTCTGCAGACTGCCACCACGTGCGTGGGAACCGGAAGGAGGAATCTGCCATGGCTGATGGCAGGTGAGCCAGGTGGGGATGGGCAGCATTGCACTTGTCACATTTGGGCTGCCGGCAGGTAAGATCGGCATTCTCGCTGTAGAAGCAGTACAGTTCTGTAGCATTCTGACCACATGTGGTATCTGCCCAGAGTCTTCTCCCCAAAGCCAAATTGCCCATTCGAGGGTTGCAGGCTTTTTCACAGCGGGAACTTGCTCCAGCTACTCCACTCAGTCCTAAGAAAGGGAAAGTTGTGTCATTCAAAGAAAGCCATGCCGACAGCTTCTCCCTTATCCCTATCCATCTCACCACTAGCAAGCATCCCCCAAAGCAATTGAGACCTGCAGCAAAGCAGAAATTTCACCCAATTATGTGATCACAACCACTGTTCTGTACTCTGAGGGCATTCGTGTATGCAAGCATGCATGAATTTGATTTCTATGTTCATTTGTAAAATTCACATAGGCAAAGAGAGTGATGTCAGGTACAGAGAGAGGAAAGTGCTGATAGCCAAATGAGGAATATTGGCTTAACACTTGTGAAAAGTGCTCTTTTTCTAAACATGCTCTGCCTTTGAAACAAAATCATCTTTACAAGTCATGGATTCGTGCCAAAGTAACATCACCTCATTGTGTCTTCCAGTTGTAATTTGGGTTCTTAGCATTATCTGACATGTTTAGTATGAGGAATGCATTTAGAAGGACATGTAGAATTCCATTTTCTTTGTATGTTTAAGCTGGGGATGGGACTAATTCTCTGGGGAAGATGGAATGAGGCATGTAATACATAGACAACAGAACCTCATGGGGGGAAGCAAAGCTAGAAATGGCTGGATCCCAGCTATGTAATAGCATGGCTGATATGAAGTAAAAATAAATCATGGGGGGAAAAGAACCTTCTCTAAACTGCTAAAAGACACAGAGGTTTATTTTACATGTTCTCTGTGTGACAAATGCCTTACCTATGACGGGTGATGCAGTAGTTACCTGTTTGATTAACAGGAGAGCAGTTATAGACAGCCCCCGGAAGCACCTTCAACCACCATCTGTGAGGCAAAACACCTTCTCCAGGTAACACACTCCTCCTCCTGAAGGGAGGGCCAATAGAACACGATGCTTCCAGATGACTCCAAATGATAAGCAGCATTCACTGAGGAACATCCTGACTACCTAGTATACTCTTTCCCTTGGGTTCTGTTTGCATTGTCTCCCTGACACAAAATCAACCATTTCAAGCAAAGGGAATCAACTCCCCACCCATCCCCACTGCCCCCATTCTAACTCATTGGATGGTTTCTGTTGAAGAGGTAGCAGCCCCTGAACTGTTACCAGGGCAGTGTCATAGGAAGCCAAAAGACGGCTTCTGCTGAAGTGGAGACAGTTTGCTTGCCTGCTGGCCATCCCTGCCTGCTCCCTCCCAACCCCACTCCTGCTCTTCCAGGCTGGCTGCCAAAATGAAGGGCTACATTTGAAGCTTTATTTCTTACATGTCAAATGCAGGCAGTGTAGAATGTGTCTTGTCCTGCTGGCTGGGGCAACGGCTGCTCGTGGCCGGAATCCCACAAACACACACAGTGGGCTATGACTCACCTGTAAAGCCTTTCGGGGAAGAGCATCTACTGCTTGTGCAAGTATCTCAGCCTGGAAACACTGGCCCTGGGATGTTTATGCACCCTCTCCCGATGGCCTGCAGGTCTTGGCCATCATGCTATTTTGAACAAGGAGAGGTTTGTGAAGGTTGCCATGTTGTTTGGGGGTTGCGGTAGTGGGGGCATGGAGAAGTACAGAAGTAGAAGAGTTACAGTGAAATCTTGATTCTGGAAAGACCCCTGGGGAGGGGGAAGACCTAGATAGTAGAATTAACAGGCTCCTAAATTGTTAATCTAGAAGAGACTTGGAGTCACATGAATCAGCCAGCAAGATACTGGGAGAGCCCAGAAGTGACTGCAGCCAAGGATGCTCCTGTGGCTGATTTGGAATGCAGACCCAAATGCTGGGTACAGGGGCTGGAGACTCTCAGCATAGAGTGAGAGAAGCCAAGAGAGGGAATGTGAGCCACAAGGCTTCCCGGGGGCCCCTATTTGCCCCTCCTGGCCCCACTCTCTTTCTGATGCTGCAGAGTCTCTCACTCCTCACCCCTCCAGCTGCACTTGTACCCAATTGGAATTCAGGTGAGAGGGACAGAGAGAAGTAGAAGGGGCTCCTTCCTGCCGTTTGGAACAGCGAGCTGGGAATGAATGGCCTAGCACATCCAGAGAGACAGGGGAAAGTAGGAGGGGGCATCTGATGACACCTCTGCTGGCTGTCCAGTTACCCAGACAGGGAGCAGACCCGCCTCCGACCTCCCACAAAGCCTTGGTGGACCAGGGTACCAGCTTGCCCTGGGGCCAGCCAGCTATGCGCACAGCCAAGGCGACCAGCCAGCCTGGGGTTCCCACTGCATCCCACCAGTTACTGCCCCCAGGCATAAGGTGCATACCCACACCCCCAGGTGTTCCCTACCTGGCCCCCTTAGTGCCCAGCCCAAAGTCAGGGATCGCTGGACAAGAGGGGACCGCCACGAAGCCCACGTGCACCTAGGGTTCCCTGGTTACCCCCTCCTCATCATTCCTCAGCCCATGAAGGGCCAGGATATGGTGAGCTGAGTCCTTTGTTCCTTCACAAAGTGCAAAGGCAGTTTTTTTGTTTGTTTGTTTTGGTTTGGTTTTTAAAAGAAGCCTCATTGAGCAAGAATCCCTGGCCGCAGCATCTTCCGCGGGGCGCACCCAGGAATATTCGGTGATCCTGGAGCGAGTGTATCTCAGTTGGGGAGGGGGAAGAGGCGGGGATCAACAGGATTTGCAACTGCGGAGCCCCGGGAAAGGAGGCGGAACATGGCCACTGGTTCCATCGTCAGGAGCCCAGCTTGGCGCTCCCAGCCCTGTCTCCCAAGCACTCCCAAGTCCGGAGCAGAGAAACCCAGAGAGCCAGGGAAGGGGGTGGGGGCCCGGCCGCGTCACCACCCACCTGCGGCCACAGCCGAGCAGCCCCAGAGTAGCAGCAACCGCGCGCAGCTCCCCATGGCCGGGAGCAGCCGGGAGCAGCTGGGCTGGCCGGGTGCGGGCAGCCGGGACCTCTTGGCTGCGAGACGAAGCACCAGCAGGTCCGCTGGAGGATTTCTTCCGCTCCTGCGGCGCTGAACTCGATCAGTGGGCGCCTGCGGCGCGGGGCCGCTGACCCGGGCCGCGCGGGGCGGCAGGGTGACCCTCGCGCACCGGACTGGCGGGGCCCGGGCACCTCGGGGGCGGCGGCAGCCCCGGGACCATAGCCAGTCTAGCCGCGCTGCCCCGCCGAGCGGGTCCTGCGGGCTCCTCCGCCACTGCTAGCCCGGGGCTCGCCGCCTGCAACCTCCACTGAACTTTGCGAGACCTTTCACTTCCCTGCCGCCGCCGCCGCCGCCTCCCGGGTGTCCTCCTCCTCCTTCACCACCTCCTCTGGCCGCAGCGTCCCGGTCCCGTCCTTCTCCATGGGCAGTTCCATGGGATGCATTTTTATTGCACCGACACCGCGGCGCTCCGGTGCCAGCCCTCCTCCCCTTGCACCTCCACCCCTTCCTCCCGCCCGCCCCCCGCGCTTGACAGCCCGGGCGGTGCAGTCCTGGCGGCCGGGTCGCCGTCGTTCCCCCGCCTCCTTCCCGGGGAGGGGTGCCCCCCCTTGGCCTGGCTGGCCGCCCTGCCCGCCCAGCTCCGCCGCCGCGCTAAGCACTCCGCCCGCCCCGGCTGCGAGCGTGCGGGCTCCGTGGCCCCCAGTGGCCCTGAAGCCCCTCCCGGCGCGCGCCCTGCATCTCCCTGTCTGACCGCTCTGGAGCCCCCCAGCACCCACAGGCCTTCCCTGGGAAACAGGCTCCCACCTTTTCCCGGAACATTCCAGACAGCAGTTGACTCCCTCTCGATCAGGTCAGGGCATGCCAAGGGGGCTTAAAAAAACCGCGAAACAGACTGGCGCCTACTCCCCCCAGCACCACCACCACCACCAAACACCTCCCAGCCAAACCAGCCTTGCCTCCTCCGCCCGCCACCCTTCTCCCTAATCAGTGAATCTCAATATCCGAAATAAAGAGCCCCCAGCCCAGGCCGGGGTCCTGGCACTTGGGGGCGCGCCTGCACTGCGGTGGGGGTGGAAAGTGGGCGCCGATTCTCTGCTACCTTGCGGCTGGGGCAGAGTGGAGATCGCTTGCCCAGGAAACAATCGCAGCTCTCAAGATCTGAGGGGCCACTAATTTTGATATCAAAGATGTTTCATGATTCAAACTCAAGTTGCCTTCCCCTTCCCCCCAGGAGAAGGCTTACAGGCGCAGCTCGTGGGCAACTCCACAACATCCCTGCCTTGGAGGTAGGGGCGTGCCACGGTGGCATAGAGTTCTTGTTGTGCTGTGGCACGATAGTGTTATGAAGTAACTCCTGGGGAACAATTTAGTAGCGACCACAAGCGGCTAATTGTAGATAGGATTCCTCAGGTTCTCTTGCTTATGGTTACAGATTAAATAGCGCTTCAGCCTGGGACTTGAGCAAGTGCTGCGAGAACATAGAGCGAGGGACACACCCTGGGAAACCCGTAAAAGCAAAGGCGAAAGGCAGTTTGTGTTACATCATTCAGTTTGTGTCTTGGAAGAGTGTCCAGAAAAATCAGCTGCTTTGTGGATTCTCCTCAGTTGCTGGGTGTTACAGGTGGGGACAGCTTTGGGGCACACCAGTTATTATTTGTACTCACACAGCAGGCAGCAGTCCGGATCTCCCAGGAGGAACAGGGGGAGGGCCACATGACCCATTTGGGAGACGTTAAAATTATTGTTCCGGCCAACTCTGGAAGTGGTGCAGATAAGGGACAGCGATTTGTTTAACATCATCCACTTTAGAAAACAAACCCTTGGCGTTTTCAAATGTTGACAGTGTGGGCCGGTCTTCATATCCTATAACTACGGCCTTGATGAGGTCACTGATCCTTTTTCCCTAGTGAATGATAGACAAGTATGGTAGCCAAAGGTTCTTGGCATAAATATTAACCCAATAAGGTGACTTACCAAAAACAAAAAAGAACGAACGAAAGAAAAAAAAGAGCATATTAATAATTAACTTCCAAGTTCACTTGTATTTAGGCAGACCTATTCTATTTCTCCTTACAGATTTCAAAAGCATTTATTATTTGCACCAATCCTCCACTGATAATACGCCTACTTGATTGTTTAATGATGGATTCTTATTCCCTTTACTAAAACAGTAGGTTGCTTTATGCTAAAGCCACCCTTTATGCTTAGTCTGCATGAAACATTGTTACATTTGTCTTACATGCTTCCTTATTCCTAACTGGAGCACTCTTGTAACTGTTCAGTAAGTGTTTCTGAGATATGTAAAACGATTGTTATATGCTAAGAACCAGCACTAGGAAGGAAACCAGTGAAGTCAGGATCATTTCCCATCTTCTGGGAGAGTCTGCATTCTACAGCCCTTTTTATATGCGGAGCAACGCAAGGGAGAAGAGTCATCAACCTCCTAGTCTACTAAGTCTATGTAGACTTAGTTGCCAGTTGTATTTTGATCAAGAAGAAGTTGTCCAAAAAACCTTTACCCACAGAAGGAAAAGCCTGCTTTTAACAAGTATATCATTGCCATTTTGTGTCTTGGAAGATTTCAGTAATAGATTCTGAATTTTTTAAATCTCTTATATTAGTAGGAAGTGTAGCAAAATTACAAAATTTTCAGAACAAGTTTCAGAAGCCACATAACTGACAAATCTAGAATACTTCTGAGAACTTGAAAAGAAGCAGAAGGAGGCCTTCATGACTAAAGGTCCACGTGTCAGAGACTTGACTCATGAGAGAAACTTGCATGCCCTCGCTCCAGTTATTCATGCTATTTGAATGCATTTGCTTATGACATTTTTTTTCTGGACCACAGCCTGTTAGGAGTAACAAATTGGAGTGGAGTAGAGTTGTTATTGACAAGGAATTAGATGAGGCCATAAGGAGAATGGAAAAACTATACAAAGAAACCCTAAGAACAACAACAACAAAATTCCCACAGCAGTGAGACGCTTTTTCAGTCGGAGATGTAGAAGCTGGGAACTCCAAAGGCCCATAACTTAGGACTAGAAGGCACAGGGGAACACAGGAGAAAGAGAACTTGGATTGACTCTCCAACCCAACATCTCTCCCCATCAGGAAACCCCTCCACTTTGGTCTCACAATTCTGTGCTTCTGGTTTAGTTGTCTACAACTTTACTGAGCAATTGATTTGTCTTTTGATCTGGATTTGGAGTCCAGCCCAGTTGTTCCTCTTGACCATTCTATTCTTCAAGAGTTTGTTTAATTGCCCATGTGACATGATTTCCAAACCTTCCACTTTCTTAATCTCCCCATTCTCAGATATCTTCTAGTTTGCCTTATACTGTACACCAAGGCCTCAACTCCAGATTTGTCTGATTAGTACAGACTAAAGTGGAACTAGCAATAACTTCCACTTAGGACCATGATTTGTAGTCTAAAAATAATTAGCTGTTTTGTGATGTCAACTGATATGAAGCCTCAAGTCAATTCAAGTTCAATTTTTCAAATATTAATGTCTAATTGTCTTCTCTTTTTTTAAGATTTTTTTATTTTTATTATAAAGTCAGATATACAGAGAGGAGGAGAGATAGAGAGGAAGATCCTCCGTCTGATGATTCACTCCCCAAGCAGCTGCAGTAGGAAAGATAGAGAAAGATCTTCTGTCCGATGATTCACTCCCCAAGCAGCTGCAATAGCTGGGGCTGCACCAATCCAAAGCCAGGAACCAGGAACCTCTTCCAGTTCTCCCACGCAGGTGCAGGGTCCCAAAGCTTTGGACCATCCTTGACTGCTTTCCCAGGCCACAAGCAGGGAGCTGGATGGGAAGTGGAGCTGCCAGGATTAGAACCAGCATCCATATGGGATCCCAGCACATTCAAGGCAAGGACTTTAGCCGCTAGGCCACAGCGCCAGGCCCTTTGTTTTCAAAGTTTTATTTCTTTCTATGTATTTTTTTTAAGATTTATTTGTTTTTATTACAACCTCGGATATACAGAGAGGAGGAGAGACAGAGAGGAAGATCTTCCCGATGATTCACTCCCCAAGTGGCTGCAACGGCTGGTGTTTAGCCAATCAGAAGCTAGGAGCCAGGAGCTCTTCCAGGTCTCCCACGCAGGTGGGAGGCTACGCCTCCGGGCCCTTTTTCTATGTATTTTAAAACAGGTTGATGGAGACAGGCAGAGTCTTCCATCTGGTGGTTCACTCCCCAAATGCCCACAGCTGCCATATCTGATTCAGGTGAATGCCAGGAGTCTGGAGCTCCCTCCAGGACTCTCATGTGGGTGGCAGGGACCCAAGAATGTAAGTCATCACTTACTGTTTCTCAGGGCACACACCGGCAGGAAGCTAAGCTAAGTACAGCGGGCACTCAGACTCAGACCCTTGGAGATACGATTGGGGCTCCCCATGGATGGACTGAATGCCCATGCCACAGTATTTTTTTTAAGGTTGATCTATTAATTTGAAAAATTAGACAAATTAAGATCTCCCATCCACTGGTTCACTCCCCCAGATGACCACAATGGTCAGGGCTTTGCCAGGCTGAAGGCAGTAGCCAGCATATTCATCTGGGTCTCCTATTTAGGTGCAGGGTCCCAAATGCTTAGGCCATCTTCCACTGCTTTGCCTAGGATATTAGCAGGAAGCTGGATGCCAATGTTGCAAGTTGCAGCTTTACAACACCAGCTACCCCACATTACTGTCCTGAAGACCTGTAGGTAAAGGGTAAAAGATGTTTGGTTTAAACTGATGAAAGATATGTGTTAAAATACATTGCTTACAGCTAGCATTCATTAAATACACACTTGAAAAATAAATCAACCAATTCACATTACTAAATTTTAAAAGTAGTTAAATTTTTGAAGAGATTCTTTGAGTCCTTGATGCAATAAGTGTTTCCTATTACTTTGATCATCTCTGTGGAGAACTGGAATGCTTGATTTCTACACTCTCATATTTATTTCATCACTGTTTATAACTGCTAAGATTCAGACACAATCTATGTGCTCACTGACAGATGTATGAAAACAGAAAAAGTGGCAGGGCCTAGCACGGAAGCCTAACAGCTAAAGTCCTAGCCTTGATGCACCAGTATCCCATATGCGCACTGGTTCTAATCCCAGAGGCCCCGCTTCCCATCCAGTTCTCTGCTTGTGACTGGGAAAGCAGTCAAGGACAGCCCAAAGCTTGGAACCCTGCACCTGTGTGGGAGACCCGGAACAGGCTCCTGGTTCCCGGCTTCGGATCGGCGCAGTACAGGCCATTGCGCTCACTTGGGGAGTGAATCATCGGAAGGAAGATCTTCCTCTTAGCCTCTCCTCCTCTCTGTATATCTGCCTTTCCAATGAAAATAAAATAAATCTTTTTCAGCAATACATTTTTTATTTATTATTATCATTTTATAACACAGTTATAAAGGCCCCTGC